CATTCGATTTGTCTTAATGAGACGAATCGAATGGTACCAAAATTGTTCATTTCTGATCACTACATCACGTGATATTTACCATAAAACTTACCTGCGCCATAATACCCCCTTCTACTTTATATAAGAAAAAAAGTTTAGATTAATTATATACTAAAAATAGACAAGTTTAGAAAAAATTTTTAATCAAAAAAATTATTTATAAATTCTTGATAAACTCTTTAAATATATATATATATATTTTTTTATTCTTAAACAATCTTGTTAAAACTTATATACAGTTTAAAAATTAATCAAAAGGACTAATTTTAGTTAATACCAACAAAGCTGCAACTACAAGCCCGATCTCACCTGGCTACCTTTTGGTGCCCAGATACAATCATCACACTAATTCACAGATAACTCGGAATTTCAATTAGCTTTTTAAAAACTAAACCAAAAAGGTATTGACCTTCTACATATTACTCCTCTTATGCCTTCCTCATAAAGACTTTTGACCTTTATTTTTCGTTCTAAGATCTGTGCTTTTTTGCTATCTGCCTCATTCTGCTTTTTTGTTTTCTTTTCTTGTAGACTTGCTTTATTTGCTTTGGAGTTTTCTTTTTTCTGAGAAGATGACTTCTTTTTTTTGGTAATAATCTTACTTTCTTTCTCCTATTTGATTGTTAACTGGTATCGACAAGACTAGATCTCCTCATAAAAACCTTCCTCTATAAATTTAACAAATTTTAATAACTCTGCCTGCTTCAGATCATGTTATGTCTACTTTTCTGAGCTTTTCTAAGATGTCTGCACTCTATAGACCACTTATATAACCTAAATATCTTCTGTATATATCAGTCTTGTTCCCATACAAGCTATTTGTGAAAGTGTCTTTTGCTAGCTTCTTTTTGGTTATATTGTCCAGAAACTTTCATGCTAGTTCACTCACAATATTTTCAATATTGATCCAGTAGCCTTTATATGCTTTACATGTCATTAAGTGTTTGACTGTTTCTTTTTCATTTTTGCAAGCACAACATTTACTTGTATTATACACCTCTGGCTTCCTTTTCTTCAGTACTAACAATACCAGTATTTCTTTGCATAGACATTTTAATCTGAAAGCAAAGCGTTTACTTGCTTCTAATAACTTGCATTTAATGCCTATTATTTTTTTATTTTGTTGCCAGAATAACCTCCAGTTGTGCTTAGCTTCTTGGTCATATTTGAGAATTTGTACTGCACTTGATATTCTCTATTCGGCTTTTACTCTTATATTTGTTAGAATTTTAATTAGCTTTCTTGTAGAAATCTCTACTAGGAAATTGTTCTAATGTAGGCTGATCGGGTATCTAAGATTGTTCTCTATTTTAAGATTTAAGCAGATGTTTAATCTTGTTCCTTCCTTTGCCAATATATCTGCTCTCTCGTTTCATCTTACTTTACTATGTGCTTTAACCTTCACCAACTCCAACAAAATCTGTTTTGACTTGTACAGATCTTTAATTAACAAAACTAGCTTGTAATTTTTCCTTCTACTCTACTTTTTTGTGTTGTCTAATTGCTCATTATATTGTAAACTTGTAATTGCAGCTTTATTATCTAAATTAATTACTACTTTACTATTACTAGCTACTATTAACAAAGCCAACCATACTGTGACCAATTCTGCCTTTGTTGATGAGGACCAATCCTTGAATTTGACTTTCCCTTCAACTATCTGACAATCCTCCTCTTCATTAACCTGTACCCAACTTGCTTCTATTATATTCTTTTCATCTATTTGGGCTAAAGACCCATCAATATAGAATATATAGTTCTTCTATTTACAACTAATATTTGTTTCAAGATGCTCTTCTAGTATCTCTTCTAGTACTCTGTCAAAACCGTGCAATTTTATAAAACTCTTTGTATATTCTTCTATTTCTATTAAAACTAGCTCTTGTTCTCTTTCATCTTTTATTACTTTATCTGTCGCTTTTCTGTACCTGACTATTTCTTCGATTAGTGCTAGTTTTTTAGAGCCTGTCTCTTGATTTGTTGTTTGAATTGACTCTAGTATATTTTTTTTTTCTACCCAAAAATCGCACTCCGTACTTTTTTCATGCTTTCCTTTACAATTCTTATACCTACCTCTCTATAGTTGGCTTCTCGTTTTTAGTACTTTTTTCTAATTTTCAATGCTTGAGCAAAACTTTATTTTTCTTTTTTTTCTTAACTCTACCTACCAACAAGGCTTCTTCTTGATTCTTGTTCACTATAACCCATTCATGCTTTTGTTTATCAATTGACACTTCTTTTGCATAAGTCTTCATTGCTATTGTGTTTGGTTCTTGAATCTGAGCTTCACTTTTTTTAATGATTCTACTCTGATTTATTTCAAAATAGTTCTCAATAACTCTGAACCATTTGGGTTTATGGCCTTTCAAAGATTTCGCTCTCAATGCATAGAATTTTTTCCACAACAAAACTTTGTAACTATTGGCTTCAATCAACTGGTTTACAAAAAGCAAATTGTACTCTTGTATACTTCTGCATATTTTGAAAAATACTTCATCTTCTATGATTTCATGAATTGTTGGCCCAGAACCATAGACCTTCTACAGCTTATCTGTCATACTAAAAGTTACTCCTAGCTCTCATACTTTGAGCAGAACTATGCATGCTAAATTGTTTTCCCAAATCTTCTTGATGCTTGGACTTCTTGACTCCTTCTACCTTTTTTTGACTAGACCAGCTAGTAAAAAGCCTTGATGTATTCTTATCTTTGTTAACTTGTTTAATTGGTTATTACTATTTAGCCTATCATGAAGATTTATTACTTAGCAATACAAAACTTCTTGTTTGAGCATTTTGCATCTACCGAGACCCTAATATGTTATTATATAATTACCTGTTGATGCTGCTAGTCCTATTTTATTTTTAATTAGTCTAATAAAGGGCTGGTATATTTTATCTAGCATCAATTGTGATAGTTTACTGTTCTGTAAAATATACGCTAATTTTGGCACTAAACACATATTATTTATATATACTAGCTGACTTATTGTTGCTTTTTTGCAGTATAGTAATAATGCAAACTGTTTAACTATAGTTCTTGCTTTCTTAACTATTTGTGCTTCGCTTGTATAACTGCTTAACCAAATATAACTGCTTAACCAAACACCGAGCAACCTTGTAATAGTATTTTTCCTCTCTGCAATAATTCTATTATTTTCTATCTCTGTATAGTTTTCTTCTTTATTCTTACTTGTATTTAACATGAGTAGTTTGATTTTTTACTGTTGATACTAATATTGTTTAGAGCAAAAAATCTCTGTAAAATTTCAATTATCTTCTCTATTTGGTCTTTGTTCTCGGCTATCCATATAGTGTTGTCTGCAAAAACAACTGTAGCTTGTCTAAACTCCTTAAATTTAACAGAGTTGGTATTTATATCTAGCATCTCTTTACCTTGAATTTTGTACCCAAGATTTGTATCATCTTGAATTTTTCGTAATAGGGGGTTATAAAATATTCTCCAAATCAGCGGTGAGATCGTTTCTTCTTGTTCAATTTCGTCTTCTGCTATAAATTCGTCTGTTGTTCTATAACTTGTTATTACTTTAACTCTTCTCTCTACAAACAGTTCTAATATTAGTTGGATTACTCTTTCTGGAAGTTTAACTCTTTCTAGTACTAGCTTTAATGTCATTATTAAAACTGAGTCATAGGCTTTTTTTATGTTTTGTAACACTATCTACAGCTCTTTTCTATTTTCTTTAGCTTCTTCAAGAATCATATCAACTAGGTTTATTGTATTGACTATTGAGTAACCTGGTAGCTCTGCGAAATTCAGACTCTTTAAGATATGTTTTTCTTTCATAATTTTAGAGATTCACTTAGTTAGAATTTTGGTTATACACTTTCTAAATATCTCTAGAAGTGCGATTGGCTATATATTATTAAGATCAAAATCTTAGCTTTCACCTTTTGGTATTGCAGTCAGGGATTTTGCCTAAAATGGACAGTGTAGATCGCACCTTGTATGGTATAGAAATGTCGATCACATGATTC